ATGGATTTGTCATGAAGGAAATATCTGGCGATATTTCTTTTTATCTCATATCATTGTTATGGGTCCTGAATGACTATAGAGCAAGTTACGGGGGTAATATATATTAAAATTTATAATGGGAGGCTTTTTTCTGCAACACAAGTCGGCATGGGTTGTTTTTAAGGGCTGTGAATGTATAGTGAATATATATGGGCAAAAATATGTGCATCTTACACAATTCCAGGCAAGATAAATGCAAAGTTTTCTCAGTGCTTTGACTTGGGAGAAATGTGATTTCAAGATTTAAAATAATTACAAATGATCAAGAGCACAAAATTAAGTGCAAAAAGTCTACGGAAAATCAAAATGAAAAGCTACATGTGCGTGCAGCAGGACAATTTTGCAAGCTAAAAATACAGAAAGAGCAATTTTAATGCAGAGCAAACTGCACTAAAGAAAAACAAACAAGTTTTTTGATGGAACCTGGATTATTGATGAGCACAACTCACTCTGAACAAATAATATTCGACGGCAAATTAGAAGGCGTTCAATATGCTACTAGAAAAAGAGCGGAAAATGTTTGCAAGCTTTGAAGCTGTAAAATTACGAAATAATTGCGAACAGAGACTTTTTTACAACAAAAAAACGGCTAAATTAATCGCAAGAGAAAGAACAGAATCTAACGTTTTGCTATGATTACTCATCCTGGTGTTGAAGCAAAGAAAAATAAAAGTTGTATTTCCAAAAAGGAACTAAGGCGGCAGTCGAACAAGCGTGCACGCACCGAAGCTGACCTCGTAAAGAAATGAGGTATCATTAGAATGACAACCGTGACCGAATACTCCCATTATGCATTAACATCAAAAATACATCATGTTTGAGGTGCCTGCAGAACAAACAACCGACTTAAAAAAGAAGCAAGAGTCAAAATACGGTTGGAAACTCCGAAGGCTTCGTAGCTTGTGCAAACGTTAATTTATGCTATCGTTGGTTTAAATTCCAGTTTTTTTTCATTCTAGAGTCGTCAGAAATATAAGCGTCGGAAACTGGCATACAATTAACGAAATTATTCGTAGTTGTCGAACTGTCACATTTGCGTGCTCAAAATATAAAATGCAATAAATAAAAACCTCATGTTATCACGTGATTCTTAGATCTTTACAGAATTAAAAATTACAATTTTTCGTAATATTTCAACACACGAGTGGAATAAATAGAACAGACAGCGAGCTATTATTCACGACATTGACTCGAGAAATGCTCCGAATTTCTGCGTACTTTTGGCAAGTATAATTCAAATGGCATCACAAGTAGTGCTCCAAATAAAGAACTTTGTGCGTTCAAAGACAAACAAATGCAAACTAATTCGTCAGGGATATTTGCTTTAGCATTTGTCAGGGATATTCATGCGATATTTGCAGCACCATGAAACTGTGAGCGGTGCTCGGGAAATGAACTTAATTGGCTTAACTTAACTTTGTTGTCTCAGCACGATACGGCGATCAGTGCTCTTACTTAGAGTCACATTCATTTAGTGTCTATTTATTATATGAAATTCAAAATAGGAAATAAGAACCAGAAAAGTAACATAATGTATATAAAAATATTTCAAACACTGAACCACGAAGCACATTATTGTTCGAAGAGTTATCCGCCTACTTATGGAAGGCTATCCATTTTCGGGCGATTCAAGACGGTCGTGTTCAGTTCTCTCTATTTATGTGTATCCTTATTTCACTATCATTGATGCTTTCACATCATTGTTCGTAACTAAAAAAATTACAACTAAAAAGCGTCCCGATGAAATTTGGCAGCAGAAACAATGAGCTGATATGGATGCCTTCAAAATAACGGATATTCAAGCCAGTATCTCCATCATTGAGTCGCCATCATCGCACTCAAAGCCACTCAATATTTATTATTATTTATTATTATATTTATTATTAATATTTATTATTATTATATTATATTATATTATTATTATTAATATTAATTAGGCTGCACCTTCTCCAATGAACGCTCCCGTGCAGCGCTGAAAGCTTGCGTCCTACCAGGTATCTGACATTAAAAATAACGTTGATCAAACGTTGTCTATTTGTTTAATTACCGCTGTTTCTACATCATTCGCTTGACGAGATAGAGCGCCTACGGAAGTGTCCGTCCATAATGTATGGAAGCACTCGGCCTGAAGCGGCCAAATGTTTGTGTTATGGCGACACTAAGGCTTAAGTAGCGTCCTACATTACCTGCTCAGCCGGTACTGCCATGCAAAAATATACCCGTGAATAACCGACAGGAATTTAGCATTAATTCATTGCACATTGCATAAGATCGAGCGAGGTAATGAGAGGGCGTCTCATTAACACAAACCATGAGCGACGACGTAAGAGAGTATTTAGAGCACAAAAAGACCCACAATGTGTGGGACTTTTCAGTATGTAGGACTTTCCAATATATAGAATTTTATACGTGTTGGACTTCCCAATATATAGACTTTTCACTACGTGCGAGTTTTCAATGTATAGTCTTTTCAAAATGTGCGACTTTTCAGTATGTGGGACATTTCAATGCATAGGACTTTTATATGTGTGGGACTTTCTAATGTATAGATTTTTCAGGGTGTGCGACTTTTCAATGTTTATGCCTTCTCAAAGAGCGCGAATTTTCAATTTATGGGACTAGTCAATGTTTTGTGACTTATAAGTATGTGGGGCGTACAATCTGGTACTTGCAAGAGAATGTTCAGCCTCCTGTGGGAGCTTCAACCTAAGAGTTTGAGGAAGCCTGAGGAAACAAAATAGACAAAATAGTCTGACATCCTTACAAGCAAGTGTGTTAAGGAAATAATGACGGTGTAGTTCAGAATGTTTAGAATCCTAGAAAACCAAGAGATTTTTCGTGAAATCAATTTAATTAGAAAATAAACTTTTTGTTTTGCTTTAATGGTTTGAAGTTGATAAAAGTTCATGAATTTATTTCCCAATAAAAAGAAAGGCTGTCGGATCGGAAGAACGGCGTAAACAGCGATTCTGCGTGCGCCAAGAACAATATCGGTGATTTTCCTTGAGCCACACAATCAGCGAGGCTTTATTACAAGCTTTTTATTATTGTTTTTATTTTCGGCTAATGAAGCTCAGGCCACATCCTGCTTCCAACAGCACCAGGCGACTAAGTGTTTACAAAAAATGCCTCAAATCCAGGGAATTAAATCATCTTTGGATGAAATATATATGCCACTTTCGCAAGAATAAATATACGGGAATATATAATATTATACATCGGCGGGAGGTCTGGAATATAAATAAAAAACATGGTATCTAGTTTCATGGAGTTCGCAATTCAAATAAAGATTCAGATAATAATTTGGACACGCCAAATGTCCGTTCAAGAGCACGATACGTCACCAAATTTAGCTTGGCCTACAAACACTATAAATAATTTTAATATAAAAATTTTAAGGCTAATATCTTTTTAGCGTAAAATTACTATCCATATACCATGCAGTAAGCGCTACATAAATCCAAAAATGAAATAAAATCAATAACATGAACAAAAATCCATCCATCAGTGATGTGCCGCCTGCATGCAACGCCAGGCCTGAATCAAGCAAAAGTTCTCGCGTGCAGCAGATTTTTCACAAGTTTCCAGACGCCGAAAGTTCCCAGCTCGCCTCTGGACAAGAGGCAGAATATAATTCAATTAAGATCTTTCAACGCCAAAGCCCTTGCAAAAATTTGAGTTTCAATTAGGAACAATTGTCGTACACACGGCAGACCCCAAAAATTCCAGGAGTAAACGCAACCTTTAAAATATCAACATGAATGTTATGAAGAATTCAAAACAGCGTTAGTTCGTGATGCAGAATCCAAACCAGCGTTAGTTCGTGATGCAGAATTCAAACCAGCGTTAGTTCGTGATGCAGAATTCAAACCAGCGTTAGTTCGTGATGCAGAATTCAAACCAGCGTTAGTTCGTGATGCAGAATTCTAACCAGCGTTGCTAGAGCGACGTAAAACATTCCCCAAAATCCGGCACCCTGGGGGCAGTTCTTTAACAACTCAGCCGACTTGCAATATTCGCCTGACACAGACAGAAACTTTCTTTACTTGGAAATAAAGTTATAGGATTCCACTCTAGATAAATGTATAATACAAACTCAAATGCAATACCTAAGTGCTGACACATTATTTCAAATGGCATTAAATCTTGCTTGTTTTGAGCAGTTTTTTTAACAGGGCTCGAAAAATAACAACAATCAGGGATAAGGAGCCGAATTAGGAAACGCCCAAAACTTTACAAAACACCTGCATCGTTTTGAGAACAAAAAATATTATGTTCCAATATTTTTCTCCTGATGATCATTAGCCATTCAAATGTTTAATCACCCTTCAGAATAGTTCTATTCATCACCTCGTATTAACGACTCACATCAAGCATGCATTCTGGCAGTCAGATTAGAGTCGAGTTAATAATATCTTCTATGTTTATAAAATACGATATATTGGCACGCGATCGTGACGTCACGACGGCTGAAAAATTATATATTGCAAGCATAACTCCACGGTGTTTTCATGCCTTCATTTTGATCGTTTGTTAACTTAGGATCATTTGAACACCGCACAGGAAACCTATTAATCTAAAAATCATTTTACACATTGAGAATTAGAACTGATAATTGTATTTCATATACTTAATAGTTATAGAATTCTATAATTGATAATTGTATTCCTCATAATTGATAATTTACAGAACATAATTGATAATTACAGAATTCTAGAATAGATAATTGTATTCCTTATAAATGATAATTATAGAATCCTAGAATTGATAATTGTATTCCTCATAATTGATAATTACAGAATTCTAGAATAGATGGTTGTATTCCTTATAATAGATAATTATAGAACTCTAGAATTGATAATTGCATTTCTTACACTTGAGAATTATATCAACTTCTTCATGGGGGGAAATACAGAAGCAAGACTCACCTACAGTGCAACAAGTGCATCATGTTGACCCACCTGAGTATATAAGATAGGAGCCGTGAACCAGCACGCACCATGACACCTGCGATAGAAAATATGAGTGTAGAACATATTAGTGACTAACAATAACCGTTATTTATCATATTACAATAATTTATCATGCTTTAAACCTATCTTCTCTCACAGGAAATTAGCAAACATCATCACAAATAAAGTCAACACACGTACACCCAGACAAATTAATGGGTTATGTCACCAAAACAGTGACGCACTTTCTTGTCCATAGCACAAGCAGAGAGCGGACGTAGCACTGATAACTATTTTGCTGGGCTAAACTGGGCATATTACGTTCACTAAATTATATATTACGTTCATTAAATAGTAGGAATTTATATTACGTTTATTAAATAGTAGGAATTTACATTACGTTCACTAAATAGTAGAAATATATATTACGTTCAATAAATAGCAGAAATCTATATTACGTTCAATAAATAGCAGAAATCTATATTACGTTCAATAAATAGCAGAAATCTATATTACGTTCAATAAATAGCAGAAATATATATTACGTTCAATAAATAGTAGAAATATATAGTACGTTCAACGTAATATATATTTCAAATATATATTATGTTCAATTGTAGAAATATATATTACGTTCACATATATGCATTGCAGAATTTGTAGGAATGCAAGCGCTAGTCTAGTCATCTTTTGGACAACAACAGTACCACATGAGGGTGATGTTTTGCACAAAAATGTTCTTCATAAAGGAGAAATTGTTCCGAAAACATATGAATATCAAAAATAATTTCCTTCACAAAACGTTTCCGATTATATTACTCTCAAATTAATGACGTAATATAACTGGAGACATTCTCGAGGTGATTGTGATTAATTTTTCTCAAAGGTGATGAATTTTTTCGATGTTCTGCATCCCCAAATTCCGATTATGAGTTCCACAATTGTGGGTATGAGTCGCTATTTGAACGAAGACATACACATTTCTCTGAGGATAATCATTCTCTCTTGTGGGTCACAGCACAATAGAAAATTTCGGCGGTGGTGAGGAGGCCACCGATAATTCTACCAAGTCTCGACACGCCCGAGCTCATTGAACCGTCCAATCCACGCGTGAAGCTGTCGGTGGAAATCTGACGAAACTTCAGCCCTCGTCTGGGACTTGTAATATCCCTGAAGAAAGCAGACGAAACTTCAGCCCTCGTCTGGGACTTGTAATATCCCTGAAGAAAGCAGACGAAACTTCAGCCCTCGTCTGGGGGCTTGTAATGACCCTGAGTTTCAGGACTTGCGTCCACGTTTTATCAGAAGCGTCGCCAAGCCAGAGAACTGTCCTGATCTTTGATTAGTTCCCAATCGCCACACAATGAATTTCTAAGTAGAGAAAAATCGGGAAATTTATTCGATTTTTATTTAACCAAGATATCCACGACAATTAAATTACGGAATCTTTCGCACGGAAAAAATGAGCTGGGCGATTGCAAAATTATGAAGTAAAACCCAGCAGTCTCCTACGAACCACAAACGACACCATTGGACAGTCCTCACACGAACCACTGAGACCGAACAGTCAGACAATCCTCCCGCGAACCACAAAGGCCGAACCATCAGACTGTCCACACACGAACCACAAAAGCCGAACCATCAGACAATCCTCCCGCAAACCACAATTAAAGGCCGAACCATCAGACTGTCCACACACGAACCACAAAAGCCGAACCATCAGACAATCCTCCCACGAACCACAAAAGACGAACTATCAGACAATCCTCCCACGAACCACAAAATCCGAACCATCAGACAATCCTCCCACGAACCACAAAATCCGAACCATCAGACAATCCTCCCACGAACCACAAAGGCCGAACCATAACCCAAGACGCGCCAAAAGCCAGCAATCAGCCGGCGATATCGAGACGCTTCGATCAACATTGCGGCTAAATCGTCGGCGGCTGGAGGAAGACAAACCCAAAAATTACTGAAGAAAAGTCTGCGCCAATACGCCATCATGACACAACAGGCTGGCTCAATGGGGGCGGCACGACGGAAAGCTATCGAATGTCATCCAAGTTTCTGCTCGTCAGAAATATAAACAATACCTATAACTTTTATTGTTAAACGTGCAACAGGAATTTAGTCAAATTGAATCCAGATTACAATAAATTAGTCGATGGAGTTTATTCAAGGAATTAAAACTAGGACCTGCATTGCTAAGACAGCTATCTCTTTAAAACCTGCGCTGCTAGGACAGCTTATCTCTTTAAAACCTGCGCTGCTAGGACAGCTTATCTCTTTAAAACCTGCGCTGCTAGGACAGCTTATCTCTTTAAAACCTGCGCTGCTAGGACAGCTTATCTCTTTAAAACCTGCGCTGCTAGGACAGCTTATCTCTTTAAAACCTGCGCTGCTAGGACAGCTTATCTCTTTAAAACCTGCGCTGCTAGGACAGCTTATCTCTTTAAAACCTGCGCTGCTAGGACAGCTTATCTCTTTAAAACCTGCGCTGCTAGGACAGCTTATCTCTTTNATAAGCTTCTTAACCTGCACTGCCAGGACAGATAAGCTTCTTAACCTGCGCTGCTAAGATATATTAGATTAGAGTAGGATAGATCGAGTAGCTCCTAGAGTAGAGTAGCTCCTAAAATCTCACACGGGATCGTGGAATTTCAATGAAAATTATTATTGAAGAAATCACCTGGAACCAAATTATAAATTCCTTTTTTTCTCACACAAATTTATTTGAGAACAACACGACTGAGAACGTACGTCATGATCACGCGTATGGATGAACAAATTCATCATCATTCATCCATCAGATAATCAACAACACCATAGCGTGCACTGGTAAATACAAAATTTACGACCGTCGCTTGCAATTGTAAATAATTACTACCACAGCCATCGGCTCACGTGCACCTAATAGCAGAGTAGCCTATTAACGGTCACTTGAGTAACCCAAATAAAAATTAAGGGTGGTGCACCGATGATTATAGGTGGCGATAGTAGTTTATAGGTGGCGTAACGGTGAGTGGCCAGATTTGCCAAAAATCGACAATAAAACATCAATAAATCGAGATGGTGGCGAGTAGAGGTGGCAGTCATCTATGAATCATCGCTGATTTGTAAGGTCTGAATAATCGATAGCACATTGCAGGCAAATCTCTTTTAAGCCACTGAAAACCGTTTGCCTACACGCAATGCACGAAGGTATTTGCCACAGTAATTTATCCAACGTAGAAAGGTGTTATTGGATTGCGGGTCATTCGAGATCAAGACGAAACCATGACTTCGTCTTGTATGCTTGGCTTTTAAGAATTAGTTATGTTAAGAAAATTTTGCGTGAATTAGGTAGGCACCAATAAAGCTGACAGAGAAGCAAGGTGTTCACAAAATTATTGAGCCAAAGTGGAGCCACTGGGCATGTATCAGACTGTTTCTGATATAATTGTCCGAGGAACAATGAAAAAATTTGATTGCAACAAATACAGTTTTTCCATACATGACGGCGAATCCAATTTTTCATGTTCACCTGAAATGTTGCGTAAATTTATTAAAAATTTTGCGTATGCACCAACTGGCTGTGTTGGAAATATTGCGATCAATTGAGACTACTTAGTCTATTATTAAGTATAAATTGTATGGGTCGATTAAGTGTGTTCCATTATATTTACAATATTCTCAAGTTGCCCCATTTATCTAAACTCAAAAGGCACGTTGACGTAGTCAACAGCGGCTCATCTTCCTTGTAAAGCACAGCGTCTCGGCATCATGGGCAGAGAGCGACGTGTGAGTAAGCACACGTTCATACCGGTTGACGTTGAGCTTCCAACTAATCTTTACCTAGCTAGTCCTGCTTGAAACGTGCTTTCCGGGTAATTTGCTTGTCACAAATGTATCCTTTTCACGCAGAGGATACGAGTAAAAATTCGGTTATCCATCCTGACTTCGATTGTGAAATTTAATATACAGTCAGATAATTCTTTAGATTTTAGATTAAAGACTAAAATTCTTTAGACTAAAGAATAAGGTATAGAAAAATTGTGACTAGAAGTGGTGCAGGTAGTTCACGTCTGATATTTCAAATAATCGTGTAATATCAATTCCTTACTTCACGTCAGAATATTCTTGGTGAAAATATATCGAATCAAGCCGCTGTCAAAATTGGTGTAATGTTGACATTATGAACTTCGGGACGACTGAATGAACTTCGATACTCATTAAGCATTTTCCCGTAGCCTTTACTCTGAGCTGAACCATCGTTCGTTACGGATAAATGAAGTTTCTTTCAGCGGGTGTTTACTCGAATGTAGTAGCATGTTCAAATAAAATTGGTGATGAAGCCATCTAATCATCACGGTGGTAGCATTAACTTCGCTCATTTGATGAAATTAACATTTGCAATACTTCAGTTAAATCTTTTAAAATTACTCGACTGCCATGGCCTCTCCGATGGCGCAACGGTAGAGGCTCTGCTTCGCGCGTGGGAGACCGGAGTTCGAATCCTGCAGGCAGGGACTTCTTCCAAGTCGATTTCTCACGAGGTATGTGTATGGTACTCTGATTATATGTTCCTGCTACATGTCTGACATTGTTACTTGTACTGCCATGGTAGATTTGCATACGTAGCACTTAGAATGGCGATTGGGTGAAGCAATATCAGTAAATGTAGAAGCATCGGATTTGAAACTAAAGGAAAATTTTTTTATTGAATTCATTTTAAAGGTGGCCACTGGTGGCTCATTGATGCGCCACTGGTGCCAATGGGTAGTTATTGATGTACGAAGGGCTTTACGGGTGTGGTGGCCATTGGCAGCTTATAGGTGTGGGATAGGTGGTGCACGCCACCCTTAATTCACTGTATAAATCATATAAGCTCCACCTATGGCGTCCGCCGATAGCCACCATAAAAACATAGGTGCTCCACTCTCAATTTTTATTTGGGAACAGGGGTCGTACCATTAAAACTATTAACGTGTTCAACTCCGTTATCCAATCACTGACGGCTTGTTAAGATGATCCAATCACAGATGAGGAAGTGGCCGCTACGTGTATACTTGG